TCTCACACACACACACTTGCCTCATACAGCCATCTCTATTTATCTGCAGTCTAGACAATTTGTGGCAAGTCAACAGGCGCCGCGTCGAGTGCAGCTGCAGTGGCAGCCACTCAATGCGTCAAAATGTGTTGTCAGTTGCAACTTAACCTTAAGTGCTGGGATCACGGCTATATATCCTGCGACGTCTTGGCCAGGCCCTTGCTTGTAAACAGAATGTGGCCAGAGTGTGCGTTGGCTGTGCTTGCTAGATACCCTGTATGTGGTGAAGGAAGGTTTTCTATTCGATATGTTCATGTTACTTTGAAGAAGATTGGAGTTTAGATATGCTAGTAATGAGTTGGGCAACTGATGTGCTATAGCATACCCTGTAATTGTTTTGTTTTTATAAGTTAAGGGAAAAGTTACGGCGAGAGGTTGAACACCTTTGATAGGTAATGGATTAATAGACTATCAAAAACGCAGATGAGCTTGTGTGTGACCAGCTAGCAGATACCCTGTATATGGAGTACAAGAGGTTGTGGCATATATTGCTAGGAGATATATGCCATAACCTCTTGGCCATGGCCAACTTGGCTAACTTTCATGAGAGATCCTGTCTGTGAGCTAATAGAAACAGAAAGGCGTCCGACTGATATGTTAACAGATACCCTGTATATATAATGAACATTAAAATATACGAAATTTCTTAAAGTTCCCGATTCTTTAAAATAATTTATTGTCAGCTGTATGAAAATGGGCGAACATGTGACTGATGAGCCACCAAATACCCTGTATATGAAATGCTATATTGAGGCGTCACTTCTATAGATGCCTCTTGGCTACTTATTGGAAATAGTGTCTGTGAGCAAAAGTAAACATACTCACGGCTGATAAACTAACAGATACCCTGCATATTGTATTACATATTTAAGCACCTTAAGGCTCAAGCACGCAAATGTTGATGTTGGGCATATTTAATACATGTTTGCCTCATGCAGCTGAGCACATAGCTGATGTGCGAGCATATACCCTGCAAATGTGACAATTCAAGCACAGCTATGTATATCTATAGTCACCTCTGAACTAGCTTGGTTGATTGGTTTCTAAGCTTGTTTGGTTTTCACCCCGATTGATTGCAGATTATGAGCCGCCAACACCCTCAGCGTGCTCGCTCCCTCGCTGAATATTTACTTTGGCATGCGCATACTATTTGCCGGTAGTTTAGGCATGTCACAGCACCAACGCGTCCCACTAATCACACGCAGTTTGTTTGTTTGGCGTGCGCCAATGTTTGTCTACGATTTGCATAAAGCAAAACCAATCCATTTAACGCTCAATTAATGTGCCCATAAAGGGTATATCGGTTATGTGTAGACAGCATAGCGTGGCTTTCAATTTGCTTTGGCTTGCCAGGCGATCTATTAAAATGTGCGCTGGGAGTGAACGACATTCATAAATTGTGGGCAAAATTTTGCGTTATGTAAACTCGGTAAAATTTTCCACCACATTTGCTAATTTGTAAGCCAAGGCCAAAAAGCCGTTGGGCATGGCCCGCATATTCCAGCTATTTGGCCGTCATGTATCATGCCAATTTCTGGCTTGCTTTTGATTAAACGCGCTTAAAGCCAAAATTCTGACAACAGCAGCTGTTGTGCTTGTTTTCTGCGTGTATCTGCCGCTCTGATCGATAGCTAAGTGGCTCAAACAACAACAGCTGTGTATATGTGTATATGTGTGTGTGTGTGTGTGTGTGTTGGTGAGCCTCGTTTTTCCAGCCAGCCGCATCGTTAATTTGCTCAACATGAGCACGCAGCAAAATTTTCGATGCATAAACTTAAAATTAGCAAACACCCAAAACACGCACACACACACACACACACACACACACACAAACACATTTAGCTTCGCTCTGGTCATAAATTTCATGCCCGCTGATAAACAATAAATTAAGTTCAGCTTCAGCTACAGCTACAGCTACAGAGCAGGACACGTTTCGTAGCCGTTGCCATGTATTTCCCACGCATTTCCATGCCGCACGCACGCATACGTGCAAAATTCCAAAGCTAATTTTCGTTAGGTTTGCGCCTGGCCAGAGCTCTAGCCATGGGTGAGCGGCAAGGCAAGTGCAGGGGCCGTTAGCCATGCGAACCGCGTTGTTAGCCAGGTTACAGCTAGATATGGCTCCGCCCTTAATACCCTGCGCGCAGTAGCGCGGGCGTAAATACGAAAATGAGTGAGTCAATAAGTAGGCTCAGCCGTAGACTTCATTAGCATCAACTCCAATAGAATTTCATCAGTTTTTGACCGAAATTCAATCAGCATATCAGCTCGAACTTTTGCAGGGTATCTGCTAGTCGGGCTCAAGCCTGCGCGTTAATTAGTCGATAATGCTTGCCAGCTGTGCTGCTGTTTGATTGTGCTCGAGTTCCATCCACATCGAATCCAACAATGGCATTTTAATTACACTTGGACTAGACTGCAGCCATCAATCAATCAATCGCGGACACAGACCCGTTTCTATGTTGCATTGGACCTTGTTGTTGCTTCAAAATTCTGATTTAGTCTTTAATGTTAAAAAATATAATCATTTAAGAACTATACAACTTTTTGAATAGATCAATCAATCATCAATCAATCTGAAAATTAGAGATAGCTAATCCTAAATCAAGGCTACACTTATTAGTCTATTAATCAGATTTACAGACCCCTAACAAGGTCTTGACTATGTGCTATAGTTTTTAAAAGATTAAAAATACACCAATCATTCAATCAATCAGTCATTGAAGAAATATGATAAATATTTCTTCATTATAGAATTTATAGACCTTGGCTGAAATTAATAGGCTTACAAATGGGCTAAATATATATCAACCGCTCGCTCTGATTGATTCCATCCATTCATCCATCCATTAATCAATCTCTCAATCAATCTATCAACCATTGAATAAACGTGCCAAACACATTTTACACATCTCATCATACATAAGTTAAAGATTGGATGAAGTTATAGGCACACATAAAACTAGACTATCCTATAGTCTCATTCATAGTGTACAGGGTATATAGTACTCTATGCTTTGCGTTAATTTGCGTGTGTCTTTGCATGTGTTTTTGACACGTTTCCATTTACAACAACTATTTCATAATCACGTCCCATGATTTTCTTCGTCTCTCAATTTTGTTGTATTTTTTTTTCTTTCTTTTTTTGCCTATCCCAACGGATATAGCTGTACTCAAGTTCTCTTATCGCATATCTGCGCCGTGGATATACTTAGTTTAACCTCCGGATATCAAACAGCAAATTAAATATGCAAATTCCATTCTCTCTCTCTCTCTCTCTCTATCTCTCTCGCTCTCTGTCTTAGTCGCTTAGTTCGCTAGCTCTCAAGTTGTGGTGCATATCTATAGAAATTGCTTTTCTTTTCCACACTTTACACGCGTTTCTTCCTCTTTATCTCTTTTGGATTTTCCGTGTTGTTTTTAGAATTATCTACACTTTCTTGTGTTTTTTTTTTTTTTCCTTCTGAATACTTTGCGTATTGGCTAAGCTGGCTGGTGGGGCACGTACTTGAAATGTTGCGGGCGCACATTAAATTTAACTTTGTGTTCGAATTTTCAACAGTAAATCGTAAAATTTGTCATGGCAGAGTTACCAACTTCCCCCACCGACGCCCTGCCCTTATATAGCCACGCCCAGGCCCTCGATTCATACGCATGTGGTAAAAAGTTTTGCGTATGTTTTGCAGCTGCCTTTTTGCGCGTGTTGGCCAAAAACTTTTTGTTCTGTCTGTCTGTCTCTCTCTCTCTCTCTCTCTCTCCCTCAAAATTTGTTGCGTGCTTTTTGGCGGCGCGTGCGGAAAAGGAAATGTGCAACAGCAGTTGAAGAGCAAGCGGAGAGGCACCCGAAAAAACGTAGCATACTTTTATGCGCTATACATTCCGACTCTAGCAACACGTTAGGCGTATAGCTGCTGCCCCGCCTCCTGCCCAGCGATACTTTCGCAATTCCAGTTCAAAGTTCGATAAACTGGTTGGCTTCCTGTCTGCCTGCTGCCTCCTGCCAGCTGCCTGCTGCCTGCTGCCTTCTGGTGCCTTCTCATTCAATTATTCGTATTCCAGTTGGCTGCCTGCGCCCTGCTACGCTGATTTCGGAACGAAAGCGCTTTGATGTGCAAAAACTTTGCTGAGACACTGTCGCTCAAGCTCAAATCTCCAATTGATGAACTTATTTCGAATACGAATCGAGGTTTGCTTTTGGCCAGCGCGCTTATCTAACGTGCTCGAAGTTGGACTGCCAAAAACATAGTCAAAAAGAAGCCAAAGAAGCCATCCCTCTCTCTCGCTGCCTCTCTCCCCCACTCTCTTTCTCTCTTCTCGATGAATTCGAGTGGCAGCCATATTAATTTTCAATTAAATTTCGTTTCATATTGCTTCCGAGCTGCGGTTTGTTTGTTAATGCCGCATTAAATCCTAGCCTTGAGCTCAAAATGCCTCTGTGTACTCACGCGCACACACAGACACACACACACACACACACACACAACAATCGAATGGGCGCCTGTATATACAGCTAAAGAGCGAGGGAGAGAGGGAGACAAAAATGAGCTGTTATAAATAAATCCGCATTTACAACGAATCGTTAATAATCCATATTCAAATCTATATAACGCAAACGCATATATATCCATATATGCACACATATACATATATTTATGTACATATCTACAATGTGCCAAAGCTGTGCCATATATTTATATGCTAAAGATTTTTGCGTTTTTCTGTTGTATTTTTATGAGAATTTTATTACTTTTCGGTTTTTGTGCGTTGTGCACAACACACACACACACACACTAACACATATGTCTGATTGTGTCGACTTGTTTTTGCTCACACACAATACATATGCACGTTGAAAATGAAAATGAAAATAAATTTCCATTTGGCAAAAGTTTTTTTTTTTTTTTATTGTATGCAACAACATTTTCACACTGCTTTTTCTCTTTCTCTCTCACTTTCTATAGGCTACAGCGCAGCTTTGGCACCGACGCCACCAACAACGACAACAACTACAATTTCACCCACAAATCTCTTGCCCTATTTTGACTTTGATGTTCCACGTAACTTGACCGTCACAGTGGGCCAAACGGGCTTCCTGCACTGCCGAGTGGAGCGACTGGGCGATAAGGACGTAAGTATATAATATATGAGTATATATGGATAAAGTTGAGAATTGATGGGCTTAACTATTAGTTGAAAATTAATGGGCTTAAGCCGATCGGAAGAGAAGAGAAGAGGGGAGATGAGGTGTGGTGAGATGAGATGAGATGAGATGAGATGAGATGAGATATGAGATATGAGATATGAGATATGAGATATGAGATATCAGATATGAGATATGAGATATGAGATATGAGATATGAGATATGAGATATGAGATATGAGATATGAGATATGAGATATCAGATATGAGAAATGAGATATGAGACATGGGACATGAGATATGAGATATGAGAAATGAGATATGAGATATGCTGAAGAAAAAACAGAACAGAAAGAAAACCCAATACAGAGACTTTGTTAATAGATAACTGATAAAAGATAATTAATAATAGAAAATTTATAATACTATACTACTATAGTATATATACTATATCATTACAAACGTCGCTTCATATATTAGCTGTTTGCTTTTGAACTGCAGAGCTGAAGTTTGGGCTTAGCTGCTCTTAAAAACAAAAGTTATTTTTATTTTTATTTTTTATTTTGTTTTGGCCATTAAAGTATTTCCGCCGTGAAAAGCAAATAAGTGAATTACTACTCAAATGCCGAGCACAAAGCAATTCGCGGAAATGGAAATATGAACTACTTTGGCAACATAACAATTCCTTGGAGATTAGTGCTTATAAAAGCTTTGCTGCTTGATAACTTTTCTTTCTTATTTCTTCTATTTCTTTTTCTTTTTTTTTTTTTCTTTGCCATTTTGGCAGCTAAGACCGTCAAGAATGTACCAAGAAAACTACTTGACTTGACTTTGCCTTCAATTTTTTTCGACTTACAAAACAAGAAAAGCAAGGAGGAGGAACAAGAAAAGAAATGAAATTGAAAGCAATGGGGATTTGAAGCAGCGTTCAATCATTTGGCTTGATGTGGCGCAGCGATTGCCCAGCAGCAACATTGATTGAAGGTCGGCGGGCTGCTAACCCTTTGCCAAAATGTGTGCTGGACATGGGTGCCCAGAGCCCGTCTATGCCTAATATGTCAACATCAGCAGCGAGGCCCAGGCCCACGCAGGGGAACAGCTTTGGGCGGTCACGAAAAACGCAAATATGCCCGCTGGTGGGCGGAGAGGGGCGGGACGGGGCGGGGCAAGCCGGTGCGTGTTGTGTTCGAACTGAAGTGGAGGGATTTATGCTGGCAAACTGTAGCTGTATATTAAATGCCCAGGACTAGGCCAAATTACGCCTTGATTACTGAGGCTGCACTCGATGCGAAAAATGTTTCAGGCGACAGCCCGGCTAACGACTGCCTGCCAGGGCGAATGAGCGAGAGAGACAGGTCGTGAGGTGCTGTGCGTTGGCTAAGACGAAATGACTAATTTATGAGCCATCAATCACGTGACTGGCTATGCCATCACGCTGCCTGGCAGCCTGCATGCGGCAGGCAGGCAGGCAATGTCCTTAAGGACACGCCAACGCTATCAGCTTTAATTTGCACCAGCTCATGGCGGAAGCGGAAGTTGTGCGCTGCGTGAAGGAAGCCAGCCAAGTGCAGACACACGGCTTAATACAGAGCCGCAGCGCGCTGTGAGCAAAAAATGTGAAAATCGACCTAGCGCTACTCTAGAAATAGAGCAAGATATTGGAATATAGTTAAGAACTTGATGTCATTGATGATTTAAGAAAGTTCCAATATTTTATATTTGCATTTATAAGAGAGATACATGTAAAGAGAATATCTATTAGTTCTATCTGCTTCAGTTATTATAGTTTTTATATTTCTAATACTCCATGGAGTGGATCTCTGAAAACTAAAACATAGTTCGACTGTATAGAGCTTGCGTTCTATAGTTAATATCTCTGCTTCTTACATCTAGTTCTCGAGTTATCTATGAATAATTGACATGCTATGATATGATATGATAATGTGAGTAACATCAAATCTAAAACTAGATTAGATACATTTGAGAAGACAACGAATCAAATATATTATGTATGTATCGGTTTCTTAATAGAAGATTAAGTATCAATATTTGAGCTGGAGATTGCCTCTTTATAATAAAACACCCAGATATTATTGAAACTGAAATATTCTATGTCTCTTAAAAGTTCCTTCATAAAAAACATGACCTCTTCTTCTCTTACATCTCTTGAGCTACCAATAAAAAGAAATACCAACGCAGAAAATCACATTTGATATGAAGTCTAATCAGCATTGTTTTATTATTTTGAGATATGCATATTTTTATCGTGTCTATCATACATGAGCTCTTACAGCACCAATATACCCGGCTTACGCCATGCTGAATGTGTTTTCTGTGCATAGACAAGACGAAAAATAAAAGCTTAGCTCGTTTAAGACAACTTGGGTTCTGTTGAGTTCATTAAAAGCATTGAAAGTACATTAAATAAATGGCAGGCAAACATTCGAGAGCCAGCCCGGAGCCTTGCCCTTGAAGCCTTAATTACAAACTGTCCACTGGGCATTACAGACTACTTAGTTGCTTGCCTTCTCCTCCATCAACGGATGCTGCTGCGACTGTTGTTGTTGCTGCTGGTGCTGCTGCTGTGGTTGTTTTTTGTCATTTGGCATGCCGGCGCTTGCGTCAGCATCAGCAGAATAGCTGCACTTGGGATTGAGATTCGGATTGGGACTTGGATTTGATTTTGAGCTAACGCTGATCATGGCCGCTGCGATGCAAGTAGTTGGCTCCTCTGGCTTGGCCGTGGTCAGGCCTGGCACTGGCTGCTTCACCATAGCGACGGGGGGCGGGCCTCTCGGCAGCGAGGAGACACTCGATGAGGGCGTTCCAAAGCGTCGCTGGGAAGAACGCTGCGGCATGTCATGTTGATCGTGATGTGTGAACATTGAGGCTGTCGTCGAAGCTGTGTCTACGGTTAGCTGTAGGGGTTGTGCTCGATTGGGATTCGGAAAGGGTCGTCGATTCTCCAGAATGAGCTTTATATCACGCGCCGATTGCCACCAGCTGGGGGAGAGGCACAGTTCTATTAGAGGTCCGAAAGAGGAGCCAAACCTCAGCCTATTCTTACCGATACCAAGGCGTCAACTGTGATTTGATTAACATGTAGATATTCGCAAAATAAACCGTTATCTGTGGGACAGCAGTTGAGTTAGAGAGAGAGAGAGGAAGAGAGAGCTGAGCAGCGAGAGTCCCCATACACACCGTCATAAACAAGAAGAATAACATCCAAGACTTGGTCCACAGCTTGCTCAAGCCCCACGACTGCGTGTGCATCGCATAGTACTGTATGCCCACCAGCAAGGTGCCAATAATGCCGAATGCAACCAGCGTCAGCAACGAGAACATTTGGCAATCCTCCTGCAGTGCACGCCGGCTCATAGCACGCGAGTACCACAAGCGCAGCGACTGCAGGCACGTGTAGCTGCAACGGAAACGCCAATTGTGGATGAGGTCGCAGCTCCAACAACAACGGTACAAAGCAGAGTTCAACAAGCGTGAAATGAGGCGGGTGAGCCAGACTGCTGACTACTCGAAACTTAAAGCTTAAAGTTTGTGTTGTGAGCAAAGGAAAGTCTCAATAGAAAATTTTTTAAATGTACGAGCTATCGATAGAGAGATATAGAGATAGATAAATCGGATTATCTAATCTATATATCGGAATATTGATTTGTTTATCCAAAAGATATACCAATAGACTAAGATATTAAGTTTGGTTTAGTTGCTTACAAAAATCGTTAGTTTAAATGTCAAATGTACTCTCTGGTTTTTACAGTTCTTAGTTCGTAAGCTACGTATACAAAATGTGAAGAAACTAATAACTCTTAGCTGTATATACTCCTCAATAGTATCTTTATACCAAATTTGATACCTCTTACTCTTATAGTTCTCGACTTATAGCGATTCAGCTTCATCTACATTCTTAACCTCTATATCCTCTATGAAGTTACAGTTTAGCTGGTATTGAGCAGGCAAATCATCAAATACTACTCCAAGCAACCAATATACCCAGTTGCCCTAGCCAACGGCTTAATCAACTTGTTACCGGATCTTGAGCAGGGCAAACCCCAATACACATACAACTGCAAATAACCAATATAGCCAGTGGCTCTACGGTACGCCCTTCTCAGTATCACAAAGGCGTCTCAAATGTGGACCAATTAGCCAGCTCCAAAGCATTCACTGATTCAAAAGTGCCAAAGCCGGGACCGAGCTCTACCCTAGCGCCAGTCCCAGTCCAAGCCCTAGAGCCAGAGTTGTAGCAATCGCACTAAGCCTGGCAACCTCTAACCAAGTGGCTGCTGATGAAGTTGAGTGTCAAGTGGATGCACAGCTGGTAGAGTTTTTCCCAGTGTTTTTGAATTGTGTTGGCACTCGACGTGGGCAACCGAGGGGGAGGCATAGCATGAATCAGGTCTTTATTGCACTTACCGTAGCGTCTGTTCCGTGTTATAATGAAACTGGCACAGTTCGCAGATTGTGCAGCGCGAGGTGCTAATCCAACGCTCCAGGCAGTGCACGTGCACATATGTCAGCGAGCCCTTGCACAAACAGGGCGACACCAGTCTGCGGAGAGAGAGAGAGAAAGAGAGAGCGAGAGGGAGTGGGGAGCGGCGTTAACAACAATAGCAAAAAGCGGGGCAGGATTAAATGTGCGGACAGATGAGCAAACAGCATCCGGCGTAAACAGCATGCAGCTGAAATACGTACATATGTCGCGACTCGCTTTCAAATGCAACTGCAACTGCGACTGCGACTACGACTGCATTTTAATAACTTGAATAAATAATAATATTTACAGGCAAATACACAGATCAACTATGAATATATAAATATATGCATATATGTATGTATATATATTTACATACATGCATATATATCCATATAGAAACTGTTTAAGTATTACGGCCATTACGCTAATTTTATTAAAATGTCATGCAATTAATTTTACGCACTTTGCGGTTACATGCCCAATTCACAATATACCCTGG